TTCAACCTTTGATTCAAGAGTTATGTGAATTATGGCAAGGAGTTCAATCTTATGATGCTGCAAGTGGGCAAATTAACTTTCAACATGCGAGCTGCATTACTATGGACCATTAATGATTTTCCAGCATACGGCATGTTGTCTGGGTGGAGCACGAAAGGGAGGTTTGCATGTCCTTGTTGTACGCAAAATACAGAATCCTTATGGTTATACAAAGGCAAGAAATTCTCTTACATGGGTCATCGTCGCTGGCTTCCAGATAATCATATTTTACGCCGCCAAAAAAATAACTTTGATAACACAGAGGAAGTTCGAAGAGAACCTAGAAGGAGAACTGGCACTGAAGTTCTATCACAGTTACATAATATAGAATTTCCTATTACCACCTTAAGTAAAGCTGGTCTAAAAAGAGGACGTGTTGTACAGGGTATTGAAGGATGGAAGAAAAAATCAATTTTCTTTGACTTACCTTATTGGGAGTATAATTTATTGCCACATAACTTGGATGTTATGCATATTGAGAAGAATGTTTGTGATAATTTTATTGGAACTTTACTTGATCTGGAAAAATCAAAAGATAACTTACAAGCAAGAGAAGATTTGGTTGACATTGGAATAAAAAGCGATTTGCATCCACAAACTTTAGAAAATGGTAGCTATTTATTGCCACCAGCTCCTTTCACAATGTCAAAGAAAGACAAAGTGATGTTCTGTGAAGTTTTGAAGAATTTGAAATTCCCTAAAGGCTATGCATCAAACATCTCAAGATGTGTCAATGTTGCTGATTGTAAAATTATGGGTTTAAAAAGTCATGACTGTCATGTTCTTTTAGAAGATATTCTACCCATTGCACTTCAGTCATGTGCACCTTCAGATGAAGTTATGCACATTGTGGTGGAGATATCACATTTCCTAAAGTTGATTTGTGCAAGGGTTATCATTCCCACTGAGTTGGAGATGTTACAGAATAATATCGTTATGACTTTATGCAAGATGGAAAAAACATTCCTTCCATCATTCTTCACGATCATGATTCATCTTCTTGTACACTTGGTAGAAGAGGTTAAATTAGGTGGTCCTGTTCAATACCGATGGATGTACCCATTTGAAAGGTAACATATAACTTATTATCTATATTTAGTGACAAATATGATAAATATTTTACAAGTGTATGTCATTTGCAGATTCTTCTTGATATTAAAGGACTATGTTGGCAATAAAGCACAACCTGAGGGTTCCATTGCAGAGGGATTTATTGCTGAGGAAGGGATTTCATATTGTTCCAAATATTTGGAGGGAAATAGCCAAAATATTAGAACAAATGGATTGTCACTTGAAAATAAAGATGTGTTTCTGTTCTCTAGTGGTGGTATTTCATTGGGAAAGGTCTCTTCACTTGTACTAGATGATAAATCATTAACCCAAGCACATAGATATGTGCTACGTCATTGTGATAGTCTTATACCATTAAGAGAACATTTCAAAGATGGTGAGAAAAGAAAGAGGCGCGCGCACACACATCTTACAACTTCGGATGTCGAGAAACTTATTAACGAAAAATTTCATGAATGGTTGAGATTGAGAATAACAGTAAGGTTCAAGCTTGATGTTTTTTATTTAATATTTAATATTTACACTTGTGTAAAGGCTAATAATTTTTTTTAGGTTATGGGTGATGGTGGTCCAGAAGTAACAGAAGAAATTAAGGTCCTAGCCAAGGGGCCCAATAAAATTGCACGTACATATAAAGGTTTTTTTATTAATGGATATACCTTTCACATTAAAATCAGAGATGAGAATAAGAAAACTCAGAATTATGGTGTTGTTAATAGCACAGAAATTGGAAACTTCAATTATTATGGGAAAATTAATGATATTATTGAGATAAATTATTCAGATAAGTTCAAAGTGGTGCTATTCAAATGCGATTGGGCGAACACAACTGGCACCGGTGTAAAGCAAAATCAGTTTGGTTACACTTTGGTGAATTTTTCACGACTTATTCACACTGGTCATAAATTAGAAGATGATCCATTTGTTTTCTCTTCGCAAGTTGAACCGGTCTACTACATTCAAGATCCTAAAAATACAAATTGGAATTTTGTTGTTCGTATGAGGCCTAGAGATGTATATGATTCAAGTATTTCTCGTAGCAAATAAATGTAAGTTGGGATACTTTAATGTTTTATAATATTTCATGTTTTGTTATATGCAAATCTACATCCAAATATTTTCTATCCATTTTCATCTCAAGCTAGTTTAAGAGAAGAGGATGCAGGGTTTTTGTATTGAAGTTTGCTTTTGTGAGAGATATTTTGCCTTTGTTTTGTGAATTCTAAAAGAAGAGGTCCTATTATGAGATGACTTCTTTCTGTTTGCTGCAACTTCCCATGCAATCTCAAAATTAGAAATCCAAAGTCTAAGGAAAGATACATAGAAACATTGGTGCAAGGTCTGCTATATGGATGAACAACGTCATTCTTTTCTCCAATCTAGAGAAAATCAATTTGACATATTAGCTACTTGGAAGCATTAGAGGAATGGTTTGAGGCAGGAGTAGCTGCTGAAGATGGATGTAACTGCCCGAAGTTGAAAGAGTTGCCCTCTTTGCCTTCTAAGCTCAAGACCTTGTGGATACATGGAAATATGGAGCGGAAGACTTTGAATTTTGGTAGCAATTCAAATCCTCTTCCTTATGGTAAATAATTACGTTAGTAGTGAAGGGTTGCTACTAAAGTAACTCATTCCATTTACTTCTCAAAGTGTAACATCATTCTTTGATATGCATTTTTTTTTTCATTCACTACAGAAAAATGATCTTAGAGTAAAGATTGGAAGAATAAGATATATTGCTTAGTTTAGGACGATTTTCTTATTGCTTCTTCAAACAAACTTTCTAATATAAAAATTAAAATATTTGTATTAGAAAGCCGATTTAAGAAGAAATAAGAAAGTAGTCCAAAGCAAAATCATAATCAAATTATAATATATGCTTTTCATTTGTAGCTTTACTGTTATTTTAATGTGCATCCACAAATAGATGAGTAAGACAACTTCGCTTTCTTAACAATAGTTAAGAGCAGTCTGTATCTTCTTTAATTAGAGCTTTGACTATGCTGGTCTATCAATGCACAACGCTCCAGTAAGTGTTATATATGCTGGAATCTTTTTGGGATTAATGGCTATATAGAAGGAGCAAAGTAGAGATATTAGCATATCTTTAAATGTCTGTTGCACATGGCAGACAAGCCATGCCTTCTCTGAATATCTGAAGCTAGCTCTTCATTAGCTTTGTGCATTGATAGAAAAGAAGAGATGAAGGAAAGTAATCGTGATGGCTCGAAGAAGGAATTGCCAAAGTTTGCTGATATTGTGAATTCATGTGATGTGATGATGGGAGTTCATGGGGCTGGGTTAGCTAATATGGTGTTGGCTCCAGAGAAAACAACAATGATTCAAATAATTCCATTTGGAGGTTTAACATGGGATTGTAGACATGACTATGGTGAGCCTGCTCCAGATATGGGGATTAAGTATTTGGAATATGAGATTCCCTTGCATCAAATATCTGCACAGGCCTTATTTTGTAATAGTTGTAGCCATGCCACCCTGTCTAAACTATTTTATGTATGCTTTATCGATTCCGTTTCTCTATTATTTTTGCTGAAGTTTTCATTTTATTCTTCTAGTTTAACCTTGTCTTTTTTTATAATTTGGTACAGAGGAATGGAACTTTTCATTGCTGATGAAATATCATTTCTATGTGTTCATCTTTTGTGAGTTTTGATATTATACTTCATTTTCAGGAAATGACAAGAAGAAATACA